GAGCAGTCAGAGTCTCTGCTTATTGCATTGGGGAATGGAGTCCCACACTGGTGGAGAGTAGAAGCTTGCAACTACTGGCACGAGAAGGAAGGAAGGCTTCTGCTCCACCTGCAGGTCTGCAACTACAGAAGAGGTTCAGTGCCCTAGCTGCAGATGGACTAGGGGCACAGCTGTGTGTAGTGAAGCACCCAAGCAACCTGAGTGTTGACCCTAGTGTTGATAACAGGAATTTAGCTTTTAAAACCCAACAGAGAGATTGTGAAGAGCTGATCCTTGGAGATATTTAACACCCAATTGGACGTTGTCCTGAGCAACCTGCTCTAACTCTGCTTTAAGCAGTGGGGATGGACTAAATGATCTCCAGAAGTGCCATATAACCTCTACTACACTGTGACTTTATGATTCTATGCTCATGTGAGTCTTCAATATTTAGTATAAACAACATAGGCAGAACCAGAGTTACTATAAGAACTGGGATTTATGTACTTGTGTTCTTTGTGTCAAAACCACTAACATTTCACAGTAGAGGAAAGTTTTGGATAGAACATTTCTTCTTCAGCATGTATCACCTTGTAGAAGTAAATTTACTTGCAGGGCATGTAAATATCAAGAAAAAAATCAATTTAATTAAGAGGAAATATGGCATATTGATGGCATAATTGGAATTCGATGTCTCACTTTCTATTCTCATATGACTCATCTATTTTAATTTGATATTATTTTCTTGAATGTTCTTACTTGTTTGAAGCAAAGTGTTTTCTGTTCTACACCACAGACAAAATAATTGTTTAGTATTTTTATCCAATGAAAAAGAAAAGGTAATCACATCTATGAGCAGCAATGAAAGTATTTGCATGTGTTGGACATAATTCACCTGTCTAATTAATTCTGTTGAATTTAAGACTTCACCCACAAATCTTTGAGAAGAGTGGAGAAATTTTCATTAACTTCAGTGGAGCTTTTGCCTGTGAAAGGACAGCAGCGTTGGCTCCAAGGGAAACAAGGTAAAGCCATATTGAATATCAAATATTTACATTGGTCAATGAAAAGGAATTGGTATTATAGTACACTGACTAAGCACATTTGCAGAGCAGTGGTTCTAGTCACATCACCTAGCTACATCCAGAGAAGGAACCCAAAATTGTTATTGCAGAGATCCAAAGAGAGATTCCTCTTTAACATTTACTAATAATCCTGTCCTCTTCAAGTTATTTAGAGGCCTTAAGAGACAAACATATATTTAAAATAAAAAAGGTATACCAAGAGTGGAAAACCAAGAAAGATTCAAAACTTTGTTCTGCATTGTCTGTTCAACACTGTCCAAGGACTAATATTTAGGTAGTGGCCATCTGCCTTAAAAGCTACTAGAAGTTGACATTTAGGAGAGTAAGTCAACAGAACAAGTATAAAGAAGAATCCTTTCTAATCAGCCCTATAATGAAAGGAAGTCTCCTAAGAGAATTTTAACATTTAAAGATCAGCTTGAAGGAACACTTTAGACACAGCAAACTAATAAAAAAAAAAAAAAAAAGCACATTTTATAAAATATTTACTGTACTTTGCAAGTAGCAAAAATATCACATAAAATTGAAAGTTATGAAGCTTTGCCTTAACCAGTTCAAGGAGAGGAAAGGGGATTATTTCCAAAAGCAATCATCGCATGAAGCAAAAGAATGATTTGATTATTTTTAGCAAGAACAGAAAACATTTGTTGTGTAAAGTGTTAGGTCATATTTAACTAGGGATACAAAGCAGAATCTTGCCTTCTAAAAGCATCAGTGTAGATACTTATGTTTGTAAAGTCTAGCTGCACAGCCTTCAATCCACACTTTCCCTAAAGCCTTTGAAAGCCTACATGCAGTATTGAATGTTACACTAGGGATCCATTGTTCTTACCCCTGGCATGATGATCTTCTCAATGTCTTTAAAGACATCCTCAAAGCTCTCAGGATCCTGGGGTGCACAGTCTGCAATGAGGGGCCTTAGATATCCTGGTTCCACATCTGGGAAGACTTGTCTTTTATCTATTGTCTCCAGGTAATCTGCAATATATTCCACCATCTCCTTCCCTCTCTTGCGGAACTCTGCAGCATCCATGGATATCAGAGTTTAGGACCAGAAAAAAAAACTAAAAAATAAAAGAAAAAGGAAAAGTCACTTTTTGAAAGAAAATTTTACCAGCTTTAAACCTGTTATTCAGATTTATAGCATGACTCATATGGCCTTTCTGAATAGACCATATGCTCTCATTTCTGCATATTAGGCCAATACTCATACAGTATTGCATTCTGCTTCACACCAGTATCAGCTGAATATCGTATAGAAGTAAATCACACTGTTAAATCTTTGATGCCTAAGTCACAATGTAGATTACCTTAACACAGATAGGCTGCATCTTTAGCACAGAAAAGCAGTAAAGGCGCATCAGTGAAGATTCAGGAATCACAGACTTAATTCCTGCTGTTGTCAGTTGACACAAGGATGTGGCACTGTTATGTGGCACATTAAGAAAAGGTCTAAGAAAATAGCATGCTGTGTGTCTCTAATATCATCTATAATAATGAGCTATAATAATCACAGTTATCACAGTGATCCATTTTGCTGCCCTGTCATTTTATCTACTTCTTACCTCCTGTCTTGCCCCAGGACTTAGCTTCCACACTTTTTCACTGTAAATGCACATGCTGTGTCATTTACAAAATCTTACTTCAATTAGAATACACTCAGATGTGATCTGTGCTGTATTTTGCAAGATGTGAGAAAGCTCTTTGGGGCTGTCCCTGTTTTCAAGATGTTGTGCAGGAGCTCTAAGGGTGCTTTAAGCTAGGCAGAGACTGCGTGAGCACACCCAAGGTGATACATGGCTCAGCTAAGACAAGCTGGAGTTTGCCTGCAAAGTGCTGTGTAAGCATAATTCGTGTTGCTATAGTGCCTGCTCCTGCTATCCTGGCCTGCCCAGCATTTTTAACTGTATGTGGCTGTGCATTTTGAGTGTTCAGTAAATATAAGATTGAGACAACAGTGCCTGAAAAAAGTCCAAGAGTCTTTATACACTCTGAGTGATACTGTTCCTTGTGATCTAATAAGAAAATTGGGAAGTGAAGCAAGGATACTCGCTGCTACTGTAAACAATTACTACACGTAGTTCACATACCTTCAAATCTTCAATTTTTTAATAAAATAATTATATTAAGCACAATGTGAATATTAGGTAATTAAGAGACAATTTGTTAGATATCAGCTATTTGGTGAAGAATGGTATTGATTGAAGAATAGGGTGGATTGAAGAATGGGGGGGATTGGAGAATAGGGTTGCAAACAAGTAACCTCAAGAACGTTAGGCTTTGTTAGCAACTATAGAGAAAAGGAAATTACTAAGATAAGCTTTGCCAGAACCGCCTGGTGGTTACTGATATGACTGATATGACAGTGATCCTAAAATAAAGTGAGGAAGAAATAACCACCAGGGCTACAAAAGCCCACTGCCGCGTATTGGTGTGCTTACAAGAGGCATTCTCTAAAAGTGTGACGTAATGTTTGTAATCTAATGAACATGTATGTTTAAGAACAATATAATCACAGCCTGGCTGATGCTTGGGAGAGACACGCTTGGAGGAGTGATTCCCCATGTCTCCCGGTGCCACAATAAAGAATACCTGCTTGTCAACTCAACAATCTCCAGGCGAGTTCCTGGAGATTTCTCTGAATCATTGGATATATATACTGGTTCTATATATTTGGATCTATAACTGAGGTCATCATTTTGAGAAAAGAGAGATCCTTCTGGGGTCCTTATTATATTTCAATTAGTACTGTCACATTACAAAAGAAAGATCATTGATAAACACCATCCTAGAGACACGTCTGCTGCTGCATATAGAGGACCTGGAATTTGTGTGGAGCAGCTGCTGCTGCTATTTAAAAGGCAGGGTGCTGCTGTAGGTCATGAACCACTTGGAAAAGCAAGGATCTGAACAGTAGGAACTTCTAGCTTCCACCCCCAACTCCCCACACCACACGCTCCCCCCACCCCATCCTCACACCCCTCCGAGAATAGGCATTATTGTTGCTGTTTTGTTATATTACTCTCTTTAACCATCATGTAGGTGTTAAATGGCTCTCCCTGTGCATTTCAGAAAGGGGAATTGGGACCTTTCTCAGATCTTGCTACTAGGTTGCTGAAAACACATTATCAGTAGTCATTAAGGTCCTCAGAGGATTCTGGTGGCCAGTTTTGTTGTGTCATTTCCCCTTTAAAAGTCTGTGTTTAAGCAAGCAGTTTTGTTTCTACTCCTTTACGATTAGGGTTATAGTCAGGATTATTCTATTTCTTCACTACCCCACAAATCTTATGTGCATTTTCATTTAATACATTTTTGATGGCAGTTCAAAATTGCAATAAACTTTCTAAATAAGTCAGCATGAACTGCAGTGATCAATATGCATCTCTGTGGCAGCAAGCTAATCACACCCCAAGGCTCCATTCTTTGCTTTAGATATTTTGCCAGAATAAATCTAAATATCATACTGTTTCACTTCTTTTTCAAAATATCTCTAACTTAACTTATGCTATCATTATTTATTTTAAGCTACTTCATTCATCAGTTCATTGCTATGGCATGGTCTGAAGAACTTGCATGTGGTAATCTGTTATTTTTCCCTCTGGTTTCATAGATGAAAGCTGTGAAAATAAGCATTTAACATATGGCTGCCAAATTAATGGGCGTTGCCAGAGTCTGAACTGACTCAGAACTCCCACTAATTTGGTGTTTCTAGCACTACTGTTGCTCACGACAGAGTTACAGTTGTTCCTACAGATGTTTACACATGGATCAGTCATTCAGTGTCTGTGGGTCCAATGAACTCTCAGTATGATCTGAAGAATATCACTATACTACTAGAATATCACTATACTACTTTCTAGCTTTGCTTTGTATCAATCAAATATAGTGAAGAATGGTGTTGATCGAAGAATCGGGTGGATTGAAGAATCGGGTGGATTGAAGAATGGGGGGGATTGGAGAATAGGGTTTCAAATAAGTAACCTCAAGAACGTTAGGCTTTGTTAGCAACTATAGAGAAAAGGAAATTACTAAAATAAGCTTTGCCAGAACCTCCTGATGGTTACTGATATGACTGAACAAAGTGATGAAGAAATAACCACCAGGGGTCTGAAAGCCCACTACCACATTTTTGTGTGCATACAGGAGGCATTCTCTAAAAGTATGATGTAATGTGTGTAATCTAATGAATATGTATGTTTAAGGACAATATAATCACAGCCTGATTGATGCTTCGGAGAGACATGCTTGGAGGAGAGATCCCCTGTGTCTCACAGCACCACAATAAAGAATGCCTACTTGTCAACTTAAAAGTTTGTTGGCAAGTTCCTGGAGATTTCTTCAAATCAATTTGGCACCCCAGATGGGACACTCTGTGCTTGGCTGCAGGACCCACTGAGGACAGGGCTCCCTAGGGCCTCTGGGACAAATTTCCCCAGAGAGACCCTTCAACTCACTCAGATCACTGCAGGAGCAGACAGGGACCATCACCATCACTGTAAAGGTATTCTTTTGATTATTTTATTTTATGGCATTCTGTAAGGCATAGGAGACATCCTACGCAGAAACGCCATTTAGCGTTTCATAAGGCGTAGGAGACGTCCAACGCAGGAATGTGGTTAATATTCCGTAAGGCGTACGCAGGAATAAGAAAGCCTTCTGTAAATCAAGATAGGAAATTCTCATAGGTAAAGGTGTATACCCAGCTGCTAGCATCCATTTGGTATACAGGTATACATTCCGAACTGGCATAGGAAACGTCATTTGTGGGAGTTTTTCTGGTATCTGACCCAATTTCTGAAAACCAGTATTTGATGCTGTGCTTGAGTAATTAATGAGTGGCAAACTGTTTTTATTTTTATCATGCTGCTAATTAGTATTGATATACTTGATGTATGTTTTTGCTTTTGTTTTATTGTGGTGCTAATTAGCATTTGTGTACTTGGTGTATGTTTTTGTTTTCAAAATTGTGAGCAAGTGAGTGGAATTTTTGGGATCCCATATGAGTGTGTATGTGAATAGCATGTATAAGAAAATAATGGGAAATAGACAGAGTGGAGAAATAATAGAAAAGAGTCCTTTGGGATGTATTCTGGCTCCTGGAGGAGGATCCCCCAGTGGCTCAGTAAATAAAGACTTTAATTAAATATTGTAACCAATGGTGGCCATTATATACCTTAGAGAATCAGGAAAAATGGCCCAAAAATGGGACTTTGAATTATAATGCCTTGTTGCAATTAATTTTATTTTTAAGTGGCAAGGAAAATGGGATGAAATAATGTATGCAGATAGGTTTTTCACATTGAGAAGTCACCCAGAGTGGCAGAAAGAATGTGGAGTAAATAGAGTGCCACTTGATCCTCTGATTCTAGCCTTAGAAAAGGACAGAAAAAGACTGAAACCCAAATTAGAAAGATGTTGTTCAGGATGTGACCTAGGTGAAATGTGTTTGAAATTGAGAAAAAGGGAGGAAGATAGGATAGAAGATTATGTCTCCCCAAGATCTACGACATAAAACCTGCAAGGTCCAGTAAATCCGGTACCCCTGCTGCAAGTCCTCCTCATTCTGATGAGGAGGAAGGAATGAACAGTAATGATAATAGCAGAAAAGAATTTAAAGGTACCGCAATTGCTGCTCATGCCCATAGTAAAACAGGACCTGTGACACACACACCTTTAAGGGAAGCAATGGGACCAGAGGTACGAACCAGAATAAGAGTAAATTTTTCAATGGAAGACTTAGATGCTTGGAAACAGATTGTGAAAAATTATCAAAATGATCCAATAGGAGTAGCAAAATAATTTGAATTGATTGTCAAAAGTCAGGATCCTGATTGGAGTGATATAGACTTAATATTAGATGCATTAACTGAAACCGAAAAGCAACTGGTGATAAAAACAGCTTGTGCTCAGGTTAATGCCCAAATAATCACTGATGCATTGGCAGGAAGAATGGAAGAACATGTTCCTTTGACTACACCAGACTGGGACTATGAAGATCTAGCAGATTATGCTGCTTTAAAGAGATATCAGAATCTGATTAAATTTGGGCTAGAAAATGCGATATCAAAAGCTATAAATTCATTGGTTCTATTTGAAATGAAACAAGGACCAAAAGAAACACCAAGCAAATTCCTAGAGAAATTAAGAGAAGCAATGCGAAAATATACTACCTTGGACCCTTCTTCTACTGAAGGGAAATTACAAATCGCTAACTTATTTCTAGGACAGACAATAGAAGATATTAGAAGAAAACTTCAGAAGTTATCAGGACCTGACAGTCGAAATACAGAAAAATTAGTAGATGAGGCATGGAAAGTTTATAGAAATCGGGACCAGATAAAAGAGAAATAGCTAGGAAGAACAATAAAAACTGCTACAGTAGCTGCTTTAGGGCACACAGGGACCTGTGGCGGAAGCAGAGGACAGGGCAGAGGAAGAGGAACAGCAGTTAGAGGCAGAGGAGAAATGTTCAGTAAAAGGGAAAGAGCAAATTTTTCTCCCAATATAGAACCTAATCAGTGTCTAAAATGCAAGGAATTTGGACACTGGAAGAGAGACTGTCCTCAACGGAAACAACAGGAAACACCAGTGGCTGAACTAGAGTTAGATTGACAGGGACCTGGGGAATCTACCCTAGCGGACCCAGTAGTTAAGTTAAAGCTAGGGGAAGTTAAAAAGAAGATAGAATTCCTAATAGATACAAGGGCGACTTATTCGGTACTAAATCAAAATTTATCTCCGGTTGGAAAAGAATTCGTTACAGTTGTGGGAGCTAATGGCCGCCAGGAAAAAGCATTTTTTCTGAGACCATTAAAATATAAATTGGGAAAACAGATTGGTATGCATAAATTCTTATATATGCCAAATTCACTGAAATCCTTATTGGGACAAGACTTATTAGAACATTTGGAGGCAATAATAACATTTAAAGAAGGAGAAATGGAATTGAAGGTAAAAGATGATCAGTTGATTAAAAGTCTGAGTTTATCTTTAATCCAACAGAAAATTAATGAGAACCTTCCTGAAACAGAAGAAGTCTTTAACCATGTATATCCAGGAGTATGGGCATCTGAAATTCCAGGTAAGGCAAAAAATGCTTTGCCTATTAAAGTAGAAACAAAAAGGAGGGCCCGTCCAGTTAGAATATGGAGGATTAGTTAAAATTCGAGGATTGGAAGGGAATCAAAGAAATCATTGATAAATGTTTAAAATATGGCTTATTAATTGAATGTGAGTAAGAATGTAATACTTCTATCCTGCCAGTAAAGAAATCTGATGGGAAAAATTGCAGATTAGTTCAAGATCTCAGAGCAATCATCAAAATTGTGGAGGATATTCATCCAGTAGTAGCTAATCCATATACCTTATTGACTAAATTGAATATCAAAAGTGGTTTACCATTCTGGACTTAAAGGATGCATTTTTCTGTCTGCCCCTGGACAAAGAAAGTCAAAATTTCTTTGCTTTTGAATGGGAAAACCCTGAAACAGGAAGAAGGACACAGCTCACTTGGACGGTGTTACCTCAGGGCTTTAAAACCAGTCCAACCATTTTTGGAAATCAGTTGGCGTGAGAATTAGAATCCTGGGAAGCACCCACACAGGCAAGTACTTTACTACAATATGTTGATGACCTATTAATTGCTACCGAAACTGAAAAAGAATGTGTTCAATGGACTGTAGAATTGTTAAGCTTACTAGGGCTAAATGGATACCGGGTATCTAAATTGAAGGCTCAACTAATTTGAACTCGAGTGTCTTATTTAGGGTAAGAAATAACAGGAGGACAGCAAGAACTTGAAGCAGCTTGGAAGGAAGCAATCTGCCAAAAACTACAACCAGCCACAGTTAAAGATCTTAGGACATTTCCAGGAATGACAGGATGGTGTCAACTCTGGACCCATGTTTATGGTGTTCTGGTAATACCCTTATATGAGCTGCTAAAAGAAAATTCAACCTTTCTATAATGGACAGATCAAGCTGAAGAAGAATTTAAAAGTGTAAAGACAGAACTCATGAGAGCTCCAGCTCTGGGGCTCCCAGACATAACAAAACACATTTGGCTATATTCCTAGGAGAAACAGGGAATCACCTTGGGAGTTTGGGCTCAAAGACTGGGACCTTATAAAAGACCAGTGGCCTACTTTTCCAAAACAACTAGATGAACCAAGTAAATGCTGGCCTGGATGCTTGAGAGCAGTGGCAGCAGTTCTCTTAAACATCCAAGAGGCCTGAAAATCTACACTGGGACAAAAGATCACTGTGTTAGTGTCACACACAGTATCAACAGTCCTAGAACAAAAACATACACATTGGCTATTGCCATCACATTTCTTGAAGTATCAAGCCATCCTAGTAGAACTGGATGATGTGGAAATTGTGATCACTAATGTTGCGAATCCAGCATTTCTTCTTCAGGAAACCCCTACTGAACCATTGATTCATGATTGCTTGGCCACTATAGAGACAGTATATTCGAGCCAACCAGATCTGAAGGAGGAGCCTCTGGAGAGTGCAGATTCCTGGTTCACCGATGGCAGCAGCTTTGTTAAAGAGGGTAAACGAAGAGCAGGATATGCCATAACTACAACTTCAAAGGTAATAGAAGCTAAACTGTTACCCTCTAACACCTCAGCACAAAAGGTAGAAATAATAGACCTGGCTAGAGCCTTGGAGTTGGCAAAGGATAAGCAGATAAACATATGGACTGACTCCAAATATGCCTTTGGTGTAGTTCATGCACATGGAGCAATTTAGAAAGAATGAGGACTTTTAAATACTCAGGGAAGACAAATTAAACATGCAACAGAAATTCTACCATTGTTAGAAGCTGTACAATTACCAAATGAAGTGGCTATCATACATTGTAAAGGACATCAAAGAGGTAACTCTGGTCAAGAGACTGGAAATAATTTGGCTGATCGTGAGGCTAAATGGGCAGCAGAAACAGAAAGAGTTGAGGTGATGTCTTTAGTTCCTGACAGTAAACTGGTAATTGGGCAAAATAAACCTAGGTACTCTAAAGAAGGTACAAAAGTAATTGAAGACTTGGAAGGGCAGGAAAATGAAAAGGGTTGAATAAAAATACCTGATGGGGGAATAGTGATCCCTTATAATCAATTATGGAAGTTTATACAAGAACATAACAAAACTCATTGGTTTTTCAGGGTGGCCAGAAGCATTCCATTGCAGGGCAAATAATGCAAAACAAGTGATTTAGGTGCTATTAAGTGAAATAATACTTTGGTTTGGGGTACCAGCAACTATCTCCTCTGACCATGCTACACATTTCAGTGCAAAATTATTACAAGAAATCAGCAAGAAATTGGAAATAGTTTGGCAATTACACATTCCATATAGTCCTCAGGCCAGTGGGCAAGTGGAAAAAATGAATCGCTTAATTAAACAGCTTGGGAATATTTGTCAAGAGACTAAGTTATATGGGTATGAAGCACTACCGTTGGCCTTATTGAGAATCAGAACAAAACCTTGGTAAAGGACAGAATTATCCCATTTGAGAGTCTATATGTAAGGCCATATCAATCTCAATTTAAAGAAGAGAGCCTTCAAGAAGTAGGAGAAGGACACCTTCAACAGTTCTTGGTAAAATTGGGAAAACAGTTAGAGAAATAAACGGCAGAGTGTTAGGGACCACGGCTAGTGGTTTAGATTATCCTATCCCAGGCACAGCTACAGGTTGGGCAAAGAAGAGATTCAGAGCAGCCCTGAGGAGAAGGACTTGGGGGTGTTGGTGGATGAGAAAATGAACATGAGCCAGCTTCAGTGTGTGCTTGCAGCCCAGAAAGCCAACCGTATCCTGGGCTGCATCAAAAGGAGCGTGACCAGCAGGTTGAAGGAGGTGATCCTGCCCCTTTACTCTGCTCTTGTGAGACCTCACCTGGAGTATCGTGAGCAGTTCTGGTGTCCTCAACATAAAAAGGACATGGAGCTGTTGGAACAAGTCCAGAGAAGGGCCACGAGGATGATCAGGGGACTGGAGCACCTCCCATATGAAGACAGGCTGAGGAAGTTGGGGCTGTTCAGCCTGGAGAAGAGAAGGCTGCATGGAGACCTCATAGCAGCCTTCCAGTATCTGAAGGGGGCCTATAGGGATGCTGGGGAGGGACTCTTCATTAGGGACTGTAGTGATAGGACAAGGGGTAACGGGTTAAAACTTAAACAGGGGAAGTTTAGATGGTATATAATTAGGAAATTCTTTCCTGTTAGGGTGGTGAGGCACTGGAATGGGTTGCCCAGGGAGGTTATGAATGCTCCATCCCTGGCAGTGTTCAAAGCCAGGTTGGATGAAGCCTTGAGTGGCATGGTTTGGTATGAGGTGTCCCTGCCCATGGCAGGGGGGTTGGAACTAGATGATCTTAAGGTCCTTTCCAACCCTAACTATTCTAGCCAGGAGATTGGGTTTTTATTAAGAAATTTGCAGGTGATCCCCTAGAACAGAAGCGTAGTGGACCATACCGGATATTACTAACTACCTTTACAGCAGTGAAAATAAAGGAACAGCCTGCTTGGATGTGTTGCTCAAGAATCAAGAAGGCACCAGAACCAGAAAAACATCAAAACCAAGACAAAGTATGGCAAGTCGAGTCTTCAGGACCCACACATATGAGACTACATCGATCACAATTTGGACTTGTATAATAATAGGTGTTAGAAGGATGGAATCAAAATCTTTATCTGAGATTGATACAAAATGTTACTAGTGTCTTAAACAAGAGCGATTGTTGAATCTGTACTCAGCTACCTAAATAAGGAGAGAGACTGGGTATTCCTTTAATTGGCCTCCCTATACCCTTTAAAACAAATTGGGATAGATTATGGAGAGATCCTGTTTATACCAACAAGAGCCATACAAATTTTCAGGTTTTAAGGACACAAGCCTCAAATATGTCAGAAGTTAAACGTTAGGCTTTGCCTCCTAACTGGAAAGGGACATGCACACTAGGAGTAGTGGTTCCAAACTTTACAGTAATTGACATTCATCCCTCTGGAACCTGGGTTCAGAGTTTTATTAAAAGAATCAAACGAGGATATAATCATATAATCATAGCAGAACAAAACACCGCTTTCCATAGCTTTGTTAGATGGCTTATTCCATCTCTAGGTGTTAGTGAAACAGAAAAAGCGATTATAAATACCTCAGCTGCAATTGAGGAAATGGAAAATAGAACTGCTGATGTTATTCTAGTATTTCAAGAAAAAATAACCAGCCTGTCTAAAGTAGTGCTCAAAAATCGAATGGCATTAGATACACTGTTAGCATCCCAAGGAGGAGTTTGTTCTGTAATCAATGATAGCTGTTGTTCCTATATAGATCAAAGTGGAAGAATTACTACTGATCTAAAGGAGATAGGAAACAAGTTAAAATAATTCATGAGGTGGTGCAGGACAACACTTTGTGGGGATTTGAGGAAATTTGGGAAAAATTAACATCATGGGTACCCAATCTGTCCTGGTTGAGACAGGTTTTTTTACTGTATTTGTAATAATTGGAATGGTTGTGATTACATGTATAACTGTCCAATGCTCCTTTTGGTGTTGCAAACAATCCATGATGAACTATAGTGAATGGAAGAAAAACAAAATTAAGCATCAAGTAGAAACAGGGAAATACTTCAGGAAACTTTAAATAAAAATGAAATAACTCAGTTGCAAAAGAATTTGCAATAGGACAAGAAAAGGGGGGATTGAAGAATGGTGTTGATTGAAGAATAGGGTGGATTGAAGAATGGGGTTGATTGGAGAATAGGGTCGCAAATATGTAACCTGGAGAACCTTAGGTTTTGTTAGCAACTATAGAGAAAAGGAAATTACTAAGATAAGCATTGCCAGAACTGCCTGGTGGTTACTGATATGACTGATATGACAACGATCCTAAAATAAAGTGATGAATAAATAACCACCAGGGGTCTGAAAGCCCACTACTGCATTTTTGTGTGTATACAGGAGGCATTCTCTAAAAGTATGATGTAATGTGTGCAATCTAATGAACATGTATGTTTAAGGACAATATAATCACAGCCTGATTGATGCAGGAGAGGCACGCTTGGAGAAGCAGTCCCCCGTGTCTCCCGGTGCCGCAATATAGAATACCTGCTTGTCAATTTAAAACTTTGTTGGTGAGTTCCTGGAGATTTTTCCAAATCAACAGGACACAGAAGCTCCTGTGGATTGCTTGGTCTTTTTCCTGAAAGATAAATCAAATGGCATAAATAGCATCATGTGTAAGCTCATAAACACACAGACAAAAATAAATTTACTTTATCATATTACTACAACATAGGCACAATGTTATATAGCTTGTGACCATTTTTTTACCACTGAGATCTTTGTGGATCTGAAATTCTTTCTATTCCAAGTATTTATCTTGTTCCTATATAGGATTCTGATATAATTTATTGTCATTTTTATTGGTAGCAGTTTGGACAATGTCCTTTTTGGATACCAGGATAAGCAAATAAAATTTAGATCTAAACATCAGATACACATTCTGTGGTTTCAGCTTATGACCATGGAACTGAAAATTTTCAACTCAGTTTGACAAAATACACATTTTAGATAATCAGAGATCTTATTTGTCATGTGCTAATTATAGGTCTTCCCAAGAAATGGAGGTCCACTGTCTTATCCTAACATTGTTTTGGCTGCACTGCTGTCATAAATTATTGTTGCAATAACATTCTCAAGATTCGGGATGAAGAATTAAATTACAGGGGAAACCCACTGTTTTGCATGGGAGATGTAATTAAATCAGGAAGCTTAAACATAAAGAATAGGAGGATAAACTATCCATCACAAATCTGCCATAGTCACTGCAGTGTTATAAACTGATATAAACTAGTATCTAGTTAACCTCTAATGAGCTTTCACTCAAGTTTGATCAAGTGAAGTACATCACTCTGCTTCTCTCTGAGGCAAAGTATTTCATTCTTCTTTCTCCCAAAGACAATACTGAGAAATTAAGATCTATATAAACATCTTTCTCTCTCTCTCTCTCTCTCTCTCGATCTATCTTTGTGTACCTATGCATCATCTTTCCTAAAAGCCCTTACCCAAAAATTTCTTACCTACTGAAACATACATATCTTACTGGGAACTGTGAAGGCAAACTCCTTGCATTTAACTTTTTCCTTTCCACCTCCTATTTTATATCTGTTCTCCTGTGAGTGACAAGACACTTTCATCCCTATTTTTATTCTCTTCCTCAGCTCTTCATTATAGATCTGACTGAAAGTATTACTTGCCATGGAAGACACATCCACTAGACTGAATATCTGACAACTATAATGCTTACCAGTTGGTACCTCTAAAAATTCATATTACATCACCACTCTAAACAGTACCTAACATTTCTCTCTTCTATCTCTCACATGCATATACAACACACACACAATGCAACAACACAATGTGTACAGACCCTCCTTCTCTGCTGGTATATTCTAAAAATATAGAATGTGATTTTCTAAGAAGCAAAATACCTCAGATAACTCAGCCTTTAGGGTCTAAAATGAAAACAGTGTTTGACAACATCATATTTTCTTAAGTGCTAAGTGTTACAATTTGTGTGTACTTGAAATACCCACTTAAGTCGAAGGGATTTAAGCTGAAAAATATTGCAGGCCAAGTTTCCAAAACTAAATGGAAATTTCAGTGAAGGTGAAAGTCTCTCTAAAGTATTGAATAGTGGTCTGTTTTCTTGAAGGCCCCTAAAGACTGATAAAGACTCCATGCTCTCAGGGATCCCACACTTCCCAGGATGAATTTCAGCATATTCAACATCTGCCAGCTGAACCCCAACTGGGGAGAGCACAGCTTCTCAGAGGCACGCACCCCCACCCTAATTATCAACTTCTATCACTTTGTAAGCACACTGTAAATTCACTGACAGCCTCACTCTGATTGATAAAAATGAGTTTTACCAAACATACCAACCCAAGCCTTCCAGTAGCTAAAAGGATCCCATAAGAATGCTGGAGAGGGACTTTTTACAAGGGCATGTAGTGACAGGAAAATGGGGAATAGCCTTAAACTG